AACCGGACGCTCGGGCTGATCATCAATTTTCACAGCTGCTGTGGGGCTTTGTTCCATTTCGAGACCGGGTGATAATTGGGGAGTCGTTTGCTGGTTAATGTGCTCCATTGAAAGTTCAGGTAGCGATGACCGACAGCTGAGGCGCAAGGACCTTCGTTTCTTGGTTTTGCGCTGACTGGAAGAAATAGAGGTTCTTCCGGTGTCTGGTGGGTGGTGGATAGCTTCTGTAGAAGCTAGCATTGAAGTCATCTTTCGCCGTGATCGGTTTGGCCGATCCGGTTGCGAAGCACGATGTTCAACAGGACTACTTTCCGGATGAGTGTTGATACTTTTTGAAGGGATTATATCGTCAGCCGCAGAGAGGCTTCTATTACTTGGAGACACCCGTTTAGCGCGATCGTGTTGGGATGATACTTCGTTGCCCCGTTTTCGTTTCATCGACCTCGTCACGATTGAAGCATCAAGTCCCTGTATTCCTTGATTCCCCACTTCCATATCCATCGTCAACTCTAGGACCTGTTCGAGTTGGGACGCTATTTGTCTCTCAAGATCATCACTGAACGAGTCTGGAATAATGTCAATCCTATCGCACTCAACATTTGGAATGCGGGAGCTTCGTCTCGAGTGGACGGGCTGCTTCTCAAGGCCACCGCTGCGTTCAGGCGGTGCTATGCCCAGCATATCTGATTGTACATTCGTAAGATATTCTGATTTTGGGGTCTTTTCAAGAGTTTCCGGAGTTGTGATGCTGATGGATTCTATAGTCTTCTGTTCTGACTTTTTCCTTGAGCCAAGAACACCTCTGCGACAGCCAGTATCACCCCTGGTGGGTGTTGGTGAACTCCCTGGTGGTGAAAACACGTCTCCATTCAATGTGGTATCCTCGTCTTTAAGCTCGGAAATTCTTTTAACCTCAGACGCTTCAACGGGCAGGTTATCTTCAGACTGGATTTGAGGGGGGGATGAGGGAGGACCCTCAGAATGAAGATTGGTTGTGTCGAAAGAATATGCTAGAGATGATCCAATCATTTGATCAGGTTGAGCGACTGAGTTTTTGGAAGTTGGAGTTGGTGAAGAACCCAGGAATTCTTCATCATTAGCAGCCATTGCAATATCAAGCATAGGGGTTGGCGGGCTATTATCTGCGGTCTCCAAATCTCCAAACTTTGCCAGATCTGCAACTTGCCCAGGCTGGGAGGCAGGTGAACGGAAAACTGGATATAACTTTGCAGCTTCTCCTCTTTGCCTGTCTCTGACCTCTTGCTGATGTTCTGTCAGCACTTGTGACTCCCCAGCGACGTCATTTGCAGGTGAGGACTCGACAGGGACAAATTGGATCTGAGAGTCATCGTGACGAAGTCGAGGTTTAGGTGTTGTAATTTTGGATATTGAGGAAGTACTTCGTTTTCTTCGACGGGCTCTATTTACGCCTGCCGGCGTGATGGTTGGTGCAGGGGAAACAGACGAAACTTTGAAAATTTTATTGGGTCGCTCAAGGAGTTTAATTGGGGTTTCAGATCTTGTCACCTCTTCCTGGGAACTTAAAAATTCAGGAGACTCAGGATCAACCTAAACCAATGTTAGAACAATTTATATCAACATGAGCAGTATACATACTGTGTGGCCGACCGATGGCGGAAAGTTTGGTAACAGAAGTTGCACAAATGGCTGCAATCTCCTCAGGACCGTTTCCACATTTTCGGGATATTCCAAAATTTCTTTCGAACCAAACGAGTTATTCCACAGCTTAATGAAACTGTTAACTGTAGATTTATGTCTCGATTCCAAACCAGACGAAATAAGAGTCGCTAGCGTTTGTAATAGTTTATCGTCGGAATCAGCTGATTTTTGGAGAAGCGCGGTAATCGAACGTATCAATGATCGAGCCTATTACCATCAATACGGATTTACCGTAAGGGGGAATATATATTCAACTTACTGCAGCAATTACTACGTCATCCACTTCCGGTCTAGTAATGAGCAGACCATCGCGGTCAGTAATCCATAAGACCAAAGAATCTTGAGCCTTGCTCAGCAAAATTGGACCAAATGACGATGGGCATCGGCCAAGAAACTGGGTCATAGAGTCCAAGAATCTTACTGCGTGCCCAGAGTCGATCTCCGTTAGGTGTTGATAAAGTTCCTTTAGCAGCCTCCCAGCCGCGTCTATTAAATTGTTCCATGAATGAAATTGAGGGTGGCGGTATTGGAACGTCGTCGATTTTGCAATTGGAGGATGAAACGGAGACGGGGATTGCTCTTGGTTTGAAGAGAATTTGGCAAGATCGAGGAGAGCTGAACAACAGCCGGTAGCGGAGGGTAACGGCTGGGAACGAACTGCCCCTGAAAGGGTTTCAAGAATGGAAGGAAGGGCATTTTCACCCCTTTCAGTCTGAACGACAGAACTAAATGAATCAAGCAGTTGAGACCATTCCAAAGAAGCCAGATCGAAGCCAGATCCCGCGGTGAGGATAGCAATCACTTTTTCATAATCGTTCGGCGCCGAATCATAACGATTCTTCAGCTCCATTTCAACTGGGAAAGCAGTTAGACATTCCCTAGCCAGTTTCGCTACACTTTGCCATACGTATTGGCGGGTTGGCAGGGTTTGTTTATCTGTATCCGAAGCATTCCCCCACGGTTCTAAACATAGATCTGCGAATTGGCGGAATGTTTCTAGTTTAGCATTCCTTGATGTTCGTTCTTGTACACTCATTGCAATTATACCGTGAATTAGTTGGAAATACGTCTGGCCAGAGGTCGGTAATGGTGGTGGTGAAGTCGTAATTATGTGAAGCAAGTGAAGCATGGGAGATCTGACATTAGTATCTAACTTCCGTCGATGGTGCGTAGGTGTGTTAGCAGTTTGAAAAGTCTCTTGTGACGTTTTCAAAAGCAACTTATCTGTAAATGGATTTAGCCCAACAAATGAAATAATTGTTTTCACAAGAAAGTGAAATCGACTGTAAAAAGCATCGTTTTGCTCGATCCCTTCTGCATTTAATGACGACGGCGCCGCTTTCCAGATCCGTTGCAATGTGCCCAGGATACTAGCAACTGCTTGCATAGATTCCGGAGAGGGTGTAATCTCCTTATTGGAAGCGTCGGCCAGAGCCTTTGAAAGATTTATCCAAGCTAGCCCAATGCCTGACTCCTGTAGTTCATTGTCACTCCAAACTGACGTCTTGAAAAGCGATTCGAAAACAGGGAGAATTATTGAAAGCCGGGATCGAACCCATTTACAGTCCAGTCTTGGTAGATCTTCGGGTTTAAGAGTCGTCGCTTTGTTAATCTTAACTTTATCTTCCTCCCAAATCTTTGGCTGTTGATTCCAGAGTAGTGAAGACAATATCTGACATAGTCGCTTGTTATTTGTTGGCTCCGAATTCAGATGTCCCGAAAATGGGGTTTTGATATATATGGTCCAGAGTGAGTCCAGGCGGCTATGAGACGCCGAAGGTCGAAAGGCATAATAAAGGAGCTTATGGTAACTGGCAAACGCTTGGTTAAGTAGAATCCCCTGTTTGTCGGTCTTCTTTCGCTCAAGTTGAGAGAGAATTGGTCGAAATAATATTTTAGTGATATCTTTACCTGTCGTCTCACTAGGTGGTAAAGCGTAAACAAACAAATCCCATGCCATCAGAGCTTGTGATTTTGTGGCTGGATCACTGCAGTTGAAACATTTCTGTATCACTAGCAACCACTCCTTTAAGTGAGACCAGCTGCCTATCGACCATCGCCTGCTTCGCAGCAAGAGGATAATAACACTCCAAATTTGCGGAACGTGCGGACCAGCCTCGGGGTCTGAGATCATCTCCGTCAGCCGACCGCAGACCTCTGTAATCAAATGAGAGGAGTCTGATAAAGTATAGCCGAGGACGTCTTTTAACACAAAAGAAACAGTAAAATTTGGTCCCAAAACCACCGCAGCTAGCTTGCCAAACCTGATTGCTCTTGTTCGTACTTCCTTGAAATTATGAAGAAGGGCCGTCACCAGTTGATCGATCCACAGCTCGGCATGGGCTGCCATTGCTGACTGCTGTAAGAACAAGAGCCTTTCGTAAATAGCCAGGCGCTGGGCAACCACCGCTTTGCCTTCCACACGGTCTGTAATATCTCTGAGCACAGTCAATAAGAGTGTCACTCGATTTGCCGTTATAACTTTTGGCGAAAAGCTTTGTACGGATAGAACACGCATATACTCGATAACAACAACCTTTGGTAAATTCGGATTCTGGAGAGAGGAAATGATATGATCAATGATGGTAACTTTTAGATCTTCGGAAACTCGCGACGAAAGCTTTGGTTTATATATGAACATGGCGAACAAGTTCAAAGCCTGGCGTACGAGTTTGACATCGAGGGGTTGGTAGGTCCCCGATACTTCACATATATCCCTCCAAATACACTGTGAAAAAAACTCAACCTTCTCTGCCAATGCATCTTCATCTGGAATGTTTTCATAAGCGGTCAGGGCGCCCAGAAGATGTTGGTATGCATCAGCTCTTGATGCATGAGACTCGCCTGCGAGCTGGTTGGTGATTGATTCTAGCATGGCAGGTAGATTCTCGGATGGATTGGTGAGCTGCTCATCAGGCGGGGAGGAGGCTGGGGAGGAGCAGGAAGTTTTGAGGATCGATTTGGATGGTTTATATTGATTCGAGGGTAGAAGGGCTCTAAGGGGCGTTCTCGTCTTAGGATTGTTCGGGTTTGTGAAGGACGGAGGTTTGATATAGCTGGTCAAAGGAGAGAAATTGACCCTTTTTGACTGAGAGCTGGACTGAGGATGGGGTGGTAGATCCAATGGCGAGGAACGGTCGTCTGGAGTCGAAAGGAGAGCTTGATTGCCGGGTAGCTGCTGGATGTCGGACTTTGGCGCTGCCAAATTGAAGGAGGATGATCGGGGAGGAGTTGGTGGACGTGCAGGAAGAGCACAGAAGCTCAGGACTTCAACCATATTTGGAGATACGGAGATATGGTGGAGGACATCCAGTCTAATGTATAAATTATCGTAAACCGATAACTAACTACCACCAACCCAAGAACCAAAAGGGGAAAATAAAGAAGGGAAAAAGTAAATCAGAAGACGCCGTCCATTCGGATAACAAAAAACAAAGTGCAATTCGACTCCGTCAAGAGTCAAGACCGTTGTCGGCGGTCGTGGTCGAACGTCGTCGCTTTGGCCATTTTGGACGCGTCCAAAATGGCAGAATCACGCCAAGACCTCGGGAGAAGTCGCGACGTTGAGCTGAGGCCCTCCTCACGGAATATCATATCTCCGAGACGTTTTGCTGCGTTTGGATCAAACCTTCGGTGGTTGAGCATAACTGACTAACGTTAAGGAGGCACTTATCAGATTGTTTAACTTTCGACCCTTCTTCCCAATTTGGCCTACGACTGCCTTTTCCGCATCTCTCCACCTTGTTAAATGCCTTGGATGTCTCTTCATTGCTGTAATAGTCTTTGAAGTGGGCTTCATACAATTCATCACACACGATGCCTCCGCTCGCCCACTCGTCAAAACGAGGCAGAATTGACGTATCCAAGGATGCCAGCCTTAAAACAGGATACGTCAGCTCACTAACTAGAAAACAATCATCACCCAAGTAGCAATCGGCTGAGCCATCACGGTGTTAACAAAGATTGTCTCCCAGCACGGCGCTGCTATTGATGAGTTGACGACGATCAACTCCTGACTACTCTCGACTTATTGATAGTGATTAGCTCCCAGCAACACTCTGCTATTGAACCGTTGACAGCAACTACTAATTAGTGATGGCAGTTCAGTGCTAGCACCTCAGAATAGAACTGAACTTCAAACTTAAAGAAACTTTAATGTCCTGTTGTTTACCTTAAAAGAATAAAGAATTCATTCAATCAGTTAATCTTAATTTATATTTTAAAAGTTATCACTATGTGATATATAATAAACTGGACCTCAGTATCTACTCTTATTATGATGCAGATCTGAAGGTGCTAATACTCCTTCATCTCTGACTGAAGAATTTCAAACTCCTATTTGAATTCATCATTGAAGTTTTTGATTTTAATTTATCTGCTATTAAGATATTATTGCAAAGTTTAAACATTTTAAAATATAATTTCTGAAGAAATTAAAATTGTCTTTAATCATATAATCATACTTTAAGATTTTATATTATTTTTGAGTCTACTATTACTATCAGATAGAATAATAGATCATATATATTCTTAGATAAGGCTGAATCAACTAATATCAAAGATATATCTTCTGATGAAAACACGTAGGTACAAACTGAAGTGAATTTAAACTTTGAATTAAATAACTAATTTGATGCAAGATTGAACTCATTTGACTAGATTCTGTAAAACTTCAACGTCTTTTACAATGATGCTGTATCTAATCAAAAGGTATATCTGCTTTATCATCTGAAAGCTGCAGTCTGATAACATATATCAAAGAAAAATCATGAGTTTGATGCTTTTATCATCATATCTAATATAATTATTCAATATATTTTATTATTTAAGTCGGAGAATATGTTAAAACATATATAAATGTGTTTTTCTTATCTTTATCTGCAATATTTTTTTCAATATTTTTTATTTTTATAATATTGATAATTTTTATATATAATATAATATTTTGCAGTCAACTCAAATCAATATATTTATTGATCAGCTTTTTCAACTTAATCTTCACTTTATCTTTATAGCTTTTAAGAGTCTGTGATCTTTATTGGCATTTACACTAGATGATAATTGATCAAGAATAGATAAAATGTATAAGTGTAGTGATTTTATCAGGTAATTTGATTAGCTTTGAGCATGAACTTTCAATTTAGTTCAATCCAGCCATAAAGGTCATCTATCTTTCACTTTAATAGAAGCGGTGATATTGGATGACCTAGTAGACGTGAAGAGAGAAATTATGAAATATTACCTTTAGACCAGGCATGAGCAAGCATTTAAAACAATCACTATGTAGAAAAGATGGAGTACTCTTCATATAAAACTTCAATTGGCTTCTGGTGTAAGATGCTTATACAAAATTACTTGATTTATTAAATCTTTTGCTAATTTGGCTATTTTTATCTAGTCAGATAGAGGCTATGAGAAAGCATTCTCACATTTAAAAAGCTGTCAAGATCAAGTACCATTAAAGAGGACACTAAGCTTAGTATAAAATTCTTCGCGATGAGAAGCAGGCAAAACTCATAGAAGGAACAGCATGAGAAAAAGTGTATAAAAGCTAAACAATGCTGAGAGACGGCAAATACAGCAGCAGCAGCAGCAGCAGCTAAACAGCTTATAGAGAAGGAATAGAGGATTCAACAGAGCATTCAACAGCAAAAAAGGAAGAAGAATGTACGGCTGCACACCTTGAAGTGAGAATAGCTAAGCAGGTGCAGGTGCCAATAAAGAAGATAATGATGGGATCAAAAATCACTCAAAAGCTCTTATTATTAGATGATATGTCTCCTCTGAGTTCTACACCTGGATCTATTTCAACTGCTCCGAAAACACGATATTCACATTCTGGGCAGCTTATTAAGCCAATCAATCATTCTATGGGTTAATTTTAAATATTTATATGTTGTATTCTATATGTAATTTTAATGTTCACCAAAATTTGAGAAAAATATCAAGGCGTTGTTGAGATCTCCATTGAAAAAAATATATGATCAATTCTACGGAAAGATCGGAGGCCGTTGGGTGGTGGATTCCGTTACGTTACAGTCCTTCATACTCCGTACAATTTTCAATAATGTGGAGGTGGTTTGACCCAACAAGGATTTCGCGACAGTTTTAAATTATATTTAGATCCTGCAGAGTAACGTGTACCCACATGGCATATACTGCGTACGATGTAAGACTTCTGCGAAGTGCTCCGCAAGTGTTCCGTTTTTAGGAGATTTTCTCGCACTAATGTCCGTGCACATCCCACATCCATTTTTGAGGTCAGTCTTACGCCAAGTTTGTTTTCTTGGTACAAACACCTGGTAAGGCATTGGCTTGATGCAAACTGCACCGTGTATCATTATTGAATGATATTTCTCCCTTCTAACCAGGATGAACAGCTTAACAATGGGTTCCACTCCTCCACTGGCTTCTTTGTTTCAAGGCCCAAGCTCCATTGAGCTCCCATCAAAGAGCTTTGGGCACTCCGGCATTGTGGTCAATTAACTAGCTAACCGCACAGAGTTTAAAATACCCCCATTATTAAACAGATCAATAATACTCCATCCGCCTTATTGCTGCTATGATTCAGGTCTCCAACGCCTTTTTCGTACGCCTAGACGCTACTGCCTATTGGCCCACGAACTTGGGCAGTCGTCCATCTCAAATAAATACAGAGTGCCCAGGTTTTGCTCCCCACCATTTACCCATGTTATAGTCCAACAGGGGGGGGGTTTGATCTTGAGACCATTGGGTTGCAGCGTTTGGCCACCGCTCATTGTTGCTCCACCCCTGTGTGCAGTATACGGTCTGCTGTATGATCCCAGGTCCTCTCCTCGGAATAGCCGAAGACTGGCGGACGCTTTTGTTACCTGGAGAACAATCAAATTGGTAGTTACTCGCTTATCTGCTTGGTCGGCATCAATTCCACGAGAGGGGATGCTCAGAAGAAGGATGTGACTTTCCGTCCTCATCCTCATCAACATAACCTCCTACTAATATGTATGTACTGTTCCTAGGCATAGATTTCTCCTTTTAGAAGCGATCTGTCTCCAAGCAAGGATGGTAGTAAGAGCAATATCCTATTTCAGATTGTCGCAGAGATACATGCCCACATTCCCTCCCTCACATATCTTTCTTTTCTTTTTTTGTTTCCTGATAGGAGATTTTAGTTCTTATTTTTACGTAGAAGAGCAAAATTGGAACCCAGTATTTTTGTAATAAAAGGAACAGGGGAAAAGAACAGCCCCATGCATGCAAATCTTCACAGTCAACTACACAAGTTGACAGCTAGGGGCAGAAAACTGCCCGAATGCGGAGAAATCTTGGCTGCCCAGCAGCTGCTTGGCCCGGTGCAGTCGGTCAGGCGCTTCTTGGGAAAACGTCACAAACCACCCTTCTGACAGTCCCAGGCTCATATGTCTGGCGGTCTGTTTCTATTATATCTCTGCGGAGTACATTTCTCAGTATTAATCCTAACTCATTCCTCCCCCCCCCCCCCCCCCCCTTCGATAAACTAACTTACTGGGCTGGCGACGGTCAGCTGTAGTTAGTTATCATTCAAATTGCCATTTCGTCATTGCCCCGCGCCGGCTTGCGCATGAGAGTTATTTCTCTGAACTCCCCCTCCCCTCCCTGTCTCCACACCCCCTTGTTCCGCCCGAATTTCCCTTCAGCATCTCCCATTTTTATTCAAAATGGAAGTTCGCGAACTCGAAGGAAAAGGTGTGTAACTCGAAAATCTGCCCCATTTCATTTGCTCTATTGGGGTTTCTGAGCAGTTTGTGTACTTGCCCGCTAACCACAGTCGCATTTTGCCCATAACAGAGAAGCTCGATGAAGTATCGAAGCTGGTCGATACTCTTGCCAAAGATGTGAAATCAAATAAGCTTCAGTCTTCCCGTACGTTTTTCAGATACCTCAGTTTATATACACTGGACATGGCAATGCAGATTCTCTCTCTGACACTGTTCTCGGTTCCGCGAGCAGGGCTCATCGAGATTCTCCAGCAGCTGCGAGTTCATGGGCGCAATCCAATAAATGCAGACGCCATATATTCGAGAGAGGTACAAGACAGAACCTACGCAGGGACACTAGAAATACGCATACTCTGACATTACATTCAGGGGATAAGAATACTGGCCCTTTATGGCTTCGAGGGACGATCGCCGGCGATATCGCGCGAAGCTCTCCGCTGTCTTGCAAACGCCCTTCTCCTTGATAAAGACATGCGGCAGATCTTCGTGGACCTAGGTCATGGACCTGACGTCGCAGAGAAGCTCAGGGTGAGGAAAGAGCCTGTATTGAAAATTGCCTTTATGCTAATAGTGACTGTATCTTCTGTTACAGGAAGAAAATTCCGACGATGAATTTCTAGCGTCACGTTTACTCTTCTTATCCACCTATGACTCTAACTTGGATTTCGATAAATTATTTGAGAACAATGCTCTGGGTGAAAGCATCAATAACGTATGAGCCTATCGTCCGTCCCCGAACGTAACAGCACTTCTAAAAAAAAAGAAAAAAAAAGAAAGAAAGAAAGAAAGAAATGCAAATCTAATCCGCGAAAATAGCACATATATCGACATTCGAAACGATTCTCTAAAGCGAAAAAGAAGAAGCTTGATACAATGGACGAGCTTGCGCTCTCAGAAACATTAAAACTCATGTTCAACATCACCAACTTCTATCCCCACAGAGGCGACACATTTTCCATCTCTATTCCTCACATTCTCAAGATTCTGAGCCGCATAGAAATTCCAACCCCACCACTACAGGCTCCCGTGAACTATCTCATCAATTCCCTACTTAATCTTGATCTCGAAGCAAAGAAAAGCAAACACTTCGGAACAAATCCACTCTTTCCCAAATTTGACCAAAACTGCAACGTGGACAAGATGATAAATATCCTCGACCAAGCTGTCGCGATGCATAAACCCGAACACCTCGAAACACTAGCCGTACCCCTCCTCACATTATTACGAAAAATCTACTCCTTTGCTCCCGAAGGTCCGCGAAAATATATGGAATGGCTCCTCCTGCCAGAAGACGACGACCACGACCTCCCCATTGGCCAATCGAATACGCTTTCCTCCCGACTCCTGCGCCTGTCGACTTCCCCCGTAGCCCCGAGTCTACGTGAAGGGATATCGGCGTTGATGTTTGAGCTCTCAGGTAGCGATGCGACCGATTTCGTGAGAAACGTAGGCTACGGATTTGCAGCTGGCTTTCTCATGTCTCATGATATGCCTGTTCCAGAGACGGCAAAAGAAGCATTCAGTTCCAATACATCCAGAGGCGGTGAGCTTAATCCGAACGTGAATCCTATTACAGGTCAAAGATGGGATGCAGAGCCACGGGATACGGGCCCGGAGATGTCGCAGGAGGAAAAGGAGCGTGAGGCAGAAAGATTATTTGTTCTTTTTGAAAGGTATGTTTTTCTTCCCGGTCAATGTTTATTTGATGGTGGACGCCTTGCTAAGTCAATTCCCGCCTGCTTTTTCCAGACTAAGAGCAACCGGCGTGGTTGATGTCGAGAACCGCGTCCGGACAGCTCTTGAACAAGGACGATTTGAGGAATTGGAATAATGATTGTTTCCCGTCAAATAAAATTTTTTTCATTCGGCGTTTCGAAATTCCTCACTGCCTTCATATTAACCCCCCCTTTTTTTTATGGCTGAATCACGGCGAGCAATATCTCCAATACAGTATTTTGTGCAAGCACAGTACAAATGGTAATGACATTCTTCCCAACTGTGTTCTTATTCATGTTCTATCTGCCATTGGCACAGTTTCCATACGTGATTATACCAATCACCTCAACTGGCCTTCAATTTGACACTCAATTCTCTAATGAACATAGCATATTGACTCCTTCTGCCACTGCAGAATTGAACTAATGAAGTACCTCTCATTAACTGATTCGGCATATGACTTAGCTTGTAAAGTCTTATCCGTCTACAGCTTGCGAGTTGAGCAGTTGCTGCTTGGAATTTACTCCTCAAATCACTCCGAGGCGGGTTTTATGAACTCATTCGGGATCACTACCACGCGCAGTTCAACATAACAAATATTTCCTAAGTGAAATATTATTGTAGTCTTTTTGCAATTTATTCAATCCTCTTCCGGGAACGGGACCTCCGTCATGTTGTAAATGCAACCACGGAATATGGAACAGTCTGCTTGAGAACCCAAGTCTGGCTTTCTGTCCTTGCGGGAAATAATAATTAATACACCCATCTTCATGTCACTTCCATACTGGCATTTCTATAACAATGAAATCGCTGGCTAGTTACCGTGGCGGGGCTATCTCAGCCATGACTAAGCGCTGCCAGAATTTTGTAGTTACCAAGACCTAAAAGCGAAATTAGGACTCTCGCGTATATACAACATTCCACATCATAAACGCTATACGCATCCTTCTAGAGCGGCCCAGCTATTCGTCGCCCATCATGTCGATACCAAGCTCGTTTGACCCTGAAAATCCCCAAAACTTGGAGGATGTAAGTTAAAGCTACTCCGCCAAAACCCGGATTTTCACAGCTGTATGCGATGACGTCTAACCCTTTCCTGCTTTCAATCCAGATGGAAAAACAGTTCGCTGTCAAAGGTACGCCTCTCCAGGGGATAAACAGTTAAATCCATTGAAGATCTCAGAACGACACTTGTAGTAACCCAGATATTCCAGCCGTCCAACAAATGACCACATATTGGGCCCTCCTAGAATCGAGACGGGGTTCTACACTGCGCTTGACCAAAATGGACGACGAGATATACGACAATTTTATGAAATTATTCCCGGAATTTAATCCCGCGGAGACAATTGACGAGGATCAGATGAAGAGTAGAGAAGGCAAGGAGAGGTGGAGAAATTTTATTATGCCCTATGACAAGAAGATTGACGATTATAATTTCGGGACTCTTTTAAGAGCGAATCCTAAATTCGAGTATGGAGAAAAGGAGACAATTTTTGGTATGATTAGTTTCTCCCTTCCTTTATATCAAAAAAAAAAAAAAAAAAAAAGACAGAAAGAAAGAAAGAAAGAAAAGAAAAAATATAAAACAAAAAAAAAAAAAAAAGAAGAAAAGAAAAAGAAAAGAAAAACCCTTCTTGATAAGAACAGCCCAAAAAAATGTCTTTGAGATAGACATTGAATTATATTTGCTAACCATTAGCTAATTCTGGCTGCAGTCGTTCGGATGCAATTCTACGCCATTGAGATTGCAAGGTAAACCCACCTATCGAAAATTCCAAGATTTGGATCCTAATCCCCGAGTCGCCGGTCTAACATGGTTACCCCTCATCCACAGAAATCGGGCTGGGCTGAACGACTGGATATATGAGAAAGCACACCCTGAGACGAAAAAGGAATCCTCATAACAAACGCCGCCAAAATCCAAAATCCCCACCTCCCTCATTAATACATTTCGCATAAATGCATATAACTTCGGCCCCATCGTTGGTAGAGCACTGTCACCGTTCGTCTGTCAATTTTAAGGTTCGATATGGAGTTACAAACTTTGGGATCCTGTGAATGACTCAAATCAAAAGTTGTCTTTGGAAAATTGAAAAGAAAAGAAAAGGGGAAAAAGGAAAAAAGAAAAAGGGGTGAGAATAACAAAGGCGGCAAAGCTCGACTACTGTTCGCCCGTAACACAGGAGTTAAGTCGTTGCATAAAGGAGTTTCCAATGGTGGGAAACTTCATCTACTGCAGAAACGACAGCCTCGCTGGGTTTAACCACAAATCACAATCTGCTAAAGGCGGAACTGGAAAGAAAATAGAGAATTCATTGTTCTGTCTTGCGGTATGCTTTCGTTCTATGAGAAAACAAAATACGACTCGATGTTCTCCGTACGTACCTAGGTATTGTGGTCGGCCATTTGATATGGATTTCGCGCATCTATGTACACGTAACGAGAAAACCCCAAAAAAGTTCACCTACATTTATGAGCCTAGGTATATATATTTGCGCAGCAGCCTGTCTCAATGGAGGATGAAATGGATATATTTTACAAAACGTAAACTAGAATATTGAACACTATTCCCAGATTACCTGCATCTAAAGTAACAAGTTGATACCCACTCTTCGCTCGCGTCAAGCTAACTCCGCTCGTTGCTTCGTTTTACCACCCAGCTCAGCAGGCTGCGAATTCTTTCTGGAAGGATACGCTGACATCTCAAATACAGGCGTAGGATTCAGCTGGTGAGCCTGATGTTCCCCCTGTTGCATCAAAACGCAGCTGCAGGCTGCTTGGTATCAAGGGTATCTGCCACACCCAGATTCCGTCGTTGGCAACGTGCTGGTCACCGGTAAACTCCTCGAAACATTTTGGAATTGGATATCAAGGGTCTCCAAGGTCTGGTCGGTATTTGCTTTCCGGTATGCCTTTAGTTGGCTCACGATGAAAATTAATACCACTACACAGATAATGGCTCCTAAAATTCCGCCAACCACACCACCAGCGACACATCGATCTCAAGGCCGTTAGAAACGGGTTTTGGATCTGGATCTGGAGCGGTTTCTTTTTGTTATAGCTCGATTACTGTCATTGTTCTGGAGCCTAAAGCTTTTTTCGTATATTGAAATAGGGCCTGGACAGCAGCGCTATTTCCAGGATTTTGGTTCGATTCCGCCGGAGGAGTAGTGGATTTTACAATCTGAGATCGCTGGTACGGTGCAGCATCTGAATCATAGCGGTCTTTCCATTGTATCGGTGATGGCGAAAGTCCAAGACCGTTGCGCCGAAGTTCGGTTTGCAGGGAGTCACAGCGACGGCGTGTCAGCATCGAGCCACCAACCACGAGCGTTTGGCGTTCCCCGATAATGTGACAAGCATGGGACTCATGCAGAGGTGATAGTGAGAGTGTGATCCATTTGAATGAGGGGAGGGTGAACGAGAAGGACCTTGCCCAAATCGACGTATTCCTTTTCGGCAAGGCCAAGATCAACTTTGCGAGCGCTGCCTAGAATGATCTGGGTATGGATATTATTAGAAGAAACTAAATAGAACATCATCCTCTCAGTTGCCTTGACCTTCTTTTCGTTAGGTGGGAGTTCATAAGCTTACATTTCGTAGGGTACCCGATTTTCCTCTGACGCAGAAACTGCACAGCAGGAGGTACGGCCAGGAGGGAAGCCGCCAGTAGCTTCTTGCTCATACCATTTCTCTGTGTGGATGTCAAAAAAAAAAAAAAAAAAAAAAAAAAAAAAAGAAAATGGATAGCGGTACCAGTGATGTTTGCTGGTTCCAAATCATTCGACGTGGAAGAAACGCCGCCCATGTATATCAGAATTCCTTCTCTCCAAAGGCAGGTATATATTCTGCCGTCCCCAAGGCTGTATAGCCCTCGCGCCCATATTGACCATCAGGCGTGGAGCCGGTAGAACTTAGATTTGTCCACTTTTCTCTTTCGAACTCGAATCTGACCATCCCTATCACGGAGGGAATAAAAGGCCTTGTCTGGTTGAGCTGAAATGGAAGAGCCAAGAATCGTAAAAGGTGAAAATGACGAGCTATCGCCAGAAGTCAATTTCGGTATCCAGCTGGCCCGCCCATCTTCCTGCGGAATGAAAGCATGGGCAATGATCGAAATGTTCCGGTCGTATCTCCAGCCTCCGTATCTCTATACCAGGTTCAATGGGTCGTACCAAACGCTCGGCTGTCACATATCATGGTAATCAAGGGGAGGCGGCGTTCTGATAGGCTCAACTGATCTAATGTCCCATGATTGTGAAAAGTCAAAAGGTAGGGACTAATTTACTGGAGGAAGGAAACTTTTAAAATATCCGATGCCATATCATACCTGGCATTGGCCGTTAAACGGTGATGAGCGCGGGTTCTCTACTTACACGCACACTTCGATTGATCCTGTTCCCCTTCCGTTGTGGTTAGTTAGTTATACCAGACCTCTCCACCCCCTATACAAAGCCATTTATCAACAGCAATTACTAAAGTCAATATTAGAATTCCTCTTCATAAACGAAAGGAAGAGCTCTCGGGTGGCTTTCCACTCACTGGACTGCCAAAGCACGAGTCAAGCGATGGGGAAGCAGTGGGGAAGCCATGGCGCTGCCGACTTGTTGGTCAAACCTCACAGGGCGACAGAGTACAAAGAGTAAAATCACAACACCAGTGCTTAACGAGAAAAAGAGTAATTAGTCCGCAAACCGAGTTGAGAAGTCCAGTTGAGAGGAACATTGCGATTGAAGATGAGTCAACAAAATCTTCTTCGAAGTCCAGAAATGCACAAATTTTGTTTATAATAATCTTTCCTTCTTTTTGATGCCTTGAGTCCCCCCGACCCCAAGGTTAAGATGCTTCTTCACATTGCTAGGTTGTCCAGGAAGTAGGAAAAGTCGGCTTCAATGTGCTAACACCTTGATATTCTGAGTTCTCCAAATGAGGCTTCTTAGAGATTTGCATCTTCTGGCAGTTAGAACGATGCTAGATTGTAAGTCAATTCCCCAAGACACAACCGCTTGAATGGAATTGTAGTTCTCGCAAACCCATTTTGGCCCCATGTAACGGGAGAGTTAACTAATTGTACTTAAAAATATCATTTTTTAAGACAGTAAATCCTGATTGCTACAGGTGTGCTACTGAATACAGCCCTAGCACTTCCTTATACACAAAGGACGAATTCATCAGGGAAGGGCGGAAGGAAAGAAGAAAAAATTCATGAGAGCGAACTGAATTCAGAAGAGTTTTAAAGAATTGTGTGTAATCAAAGCAAGAAGCAGAATTGACCTGACACTATGATTAGTAACTAAACATGAGATTAGCTGTGAATTTATTTCACCATGCACCGAGACACATCATGACCTGAGACACTTTCTCAAAATGATATAGTTCAGTTTAAGAAGCAGTAATTAAATAAAGTAGCTTGAACCTTTACATATTTCTCAATGTCTTATATATTCAGTAGTTATGAATATCAACAAACTTTAAAACTTAAAGATTAAGTTAAGAAATAACTATCAGATTATATAGTTAATATTTATAAATTTAAGTTGTTATATTATTAATTATATAAATAAATATATAATTTTTATTTTCTATTATATGATTTTTCAATATAAGTTAAATAAATATTATAAATATTTATTATTTATAATTTAAATTTTTATTATCAATAAAATATTATATATTTATTTAATAATTTTAATTATTTTTTATTTTTAATTTATATATTTTAATAATATATTTTATTTATTATTTTAATTTTAAATTAAATGGAGTTTTCAAATATAGGTTTTTCTATTTAATACATTTTCTTAATTATATCTAATAGAATATAATATTGTGAGATTTGTGAAGTTTGTAAATTAATATGCTAATAGTAAAACGTTGTATTGCTCTTGATATAGAGTTAACGATGTTGTCATATTTCTTTGGTTCCTTGCCTTAAGTAACCCTAACCCTGGAGTTCAATCGCGGCGAAGTTGAAGAGAGATAGATGTATTAGCAGTAATGTGTGGTATATGTGTTTATTTTAGATTGGGTCAACCAGAGTTAATATTGGTTTCACCTACAAACAGGACATCATCCATCAACTGCTGGCCAGCATATGGACTCACACTAGTGTTGCTCAGCATCTTATCGACATCCATGGACCCATGGATGTTACTCTTTGTTCCACCTACCAGGGTTATCATTGATGCTGATGATACATCGACTTTCCAAACTCCCCGGGTTGCCCGCGTTTACTCTTGCCAGCACTGGATGTTGCGGTGGTATGGGGACATGTCGTATCGAAAGCTCGCCTCGGAGCTTCACCCGCATATAGTTATCTGAAGGAAGCACTTGTGGGAGTTTCATGCTTCAGCAGCACAAGGTGGAAGTTTGCAAATCTCGGCTCATGGATGACAATGCCAAGGCTCAGAGACGTTCGATTATCAATGTTTAGACCTGATGGTTGTATCTCGACGAACCAGTGCTAAGAAGTCTGCGCTTAAAACTGATGTTCATGACGAGCAAAAGACAACAATATATCCATAAGCTTGTTGAGCCGTAAGCTGATGCTGGGGAATAACTGGCGATATCAACAAGCCACCCAAAATTTAAGCCGAGGCTGTGTTTTCAGGGATTTCTTGTGGTGGCGGAGACCTAAAGACACAAAAGGGTAAATTGTGTTGCCCGCTCTAGATTATCCCAAGCGTTGTTGGTATTTAAGTCGTATTCTGTTTCATTCACTAATTACCATCGTTCAAGAAAGATAAACTTATGCTTAATGCTACAAAATATCCATTTCTCCATTGAAAGGAGGAAGAGGGAGAGTGTTGAACTACACAAGTTTCGTGGCGGACGGAAGAGTTTTTTTAAGAACGATCGACATCGTTCGACCGCGGGCAGGCAATTTTCAAGCTACGATCATGGTAACAATTGGGGCCGAAGGGAAAATTCCAGTTTGGAAATCTAGAAAATTTTTATGTCTCATAAATACTAAACCAGGGATCTGCTCATAATTATGGTTGGTTATCTATGGAAATCATCTTGAAAAGTGAGCCACACACCAAAAAAAAAAAAAAAAAAACCTTTACAGCAAAAAGCCCAGACCGTCAGTATGCAACCTGTGTATAATATCCTACGACAAAACATCTCTAATTTCCTCACCCTACAAATCTGTCGTCAACCCTCCAGTTCTAAATTGACTCTCATTTGATGCTGGATACCTCGCCTGACGAATATCTTTCGCACCTGGCGCCAGCCGGGGGAACCCAGACTAAAGTCTCAAGCTTTAGAGGATGTTCGGTATGACAAGCTCCATTTGGCTGAGACGGCGAAGACTGCGAGTCAGGATTTTCGTTCTATATGATAGTAAAACATAATATATATTGTACATCTTGCTAGACTCTCACTCCTTGGTTAATACGTAACACTAGCGAGAGGAGTGGGACATAACTGGACCAGAGGCCTAGTTATTTCGATCGCCATCATCGCCATCCGTTTTCGCAACATCGTTATTGTGACTAAATGATTCTTTGGAATGCCGATCTTGCTGACCTTCGAGCGGTGGCAGAACATAATTTTCGCTCTTCCACGCTGGAACACGCATGACGTACATTGCATCAAGCTCTTCGAGGGTTCGACCTTTGCCTTCGATAACACACAAGTATACAGTTGATGCGGCAAGGAACAGACAGCCGGCGAAAACGTACCCATACCTGAACCCAATATCACCTGTGATAAGTGGTGTGAAGAAGGCAATTAAAAAGTTCCATAGCCAATTTGACGCTGTGGCGAAAGACATAGCTCTCGCACGATAGCGGGATGGGTATAGTTCGGAGACAATGGCCCACACAATCGGGCCCCAGGTGCTAGCAAACCCTAGGATGAATAGGCATGCAAATGCCACCATGACCTTCCCAGGACCGGGGGTGAGTGTAGGATCCTCCAGGTTTAGACGAAAATGGCCTACTGAGGCAAACACAAGGAAGCAGACGAACATCCAGAGTGCGCCAAAGATCAGAGGCTTGCGACGGCCAAAATGCTCGATATTGTACAAGCCTAGGAATGTGGATCCGAAATTAACAGCGCCCAAAATAATTTGGGTGATGTAGCTGTTTTCGATGCCCGCGCCTTTGAACACCGTCGTCCCATAATAGAAAAAGTAATTGGCCCCAGTGAGCTGCTGCAGAGCCTGTAACGACACTCCTAGGACAAGTCTATAGGCCATTCGTGGGGCGATAAATATTTCATACCAAGGCTGTTCCTTCGCGGACTTCTCTTCCTCGTATTTCAGACGGATTTCTTCTAGCTCTACGTGGAGCTGTCTATGGTTATGCGGTATGCCGTAGAATCTCATCATTGACGTTTTCGCTCTCTCAATGTGTCCGGTGCGATAGTCATAGCGCGGGGACTCCGGGAACAGCGAAATCCCAACGCCTAGAATCAATATCCAAGCGAAGGTTATACCCACTGGAATCCGCCATGCGCTGCTATCATTGCGGGATTCGGTGCCGTAATTGATGCAATTGGCAACAAAAATACCCAACGTAATGAAAAGTTGATAGCAACTAGAAGCATACTTAGTTTTAAAACAGTAACGACGACGCAACAGTAGACACTAGCTGGAGGCCAAGAGAAGCTTACCTGATCATCGCTCCACGAATATGTCGTGGGGCGCTCTCGCCTTGATATAACGGTACCAATAACGAAAGCGCACCAACACCAAGACCAGCAATCCAACGTCCAATAACTATTTGATACCACCTTGGAGTGTCCGAAGTTATTTGGACAAGAATACCGACGCTAAGGACCACACACCAACCGGAAATCGAC